ATCCAACCGTGGCAAGATGTTGGTGGCCACTAACTCCAGCTTCTGCCACGGAGCGAGGAGAGATTGGTCCACCGCTCGGAGATCCTCGAGGAGGCCCCCAATTGTGGCAAATGGTGTTTGGTCGACCGAGGACCCGGTCGGGACACCAAGATGTCTATAAGGCTCACCAGATGCAAGGCGATGAACGGGCTGTCCCTGGATGTCGAACGTCGTCGGCAGGACCCTGTCGCCCGAGCCCGCGGCGAGATGCAGGGTGGCACATTTGGCAGGGTTGAACCGCAACCCCACCGACGACGCCGCGCCCTCCGCGACGGCCAAAAGCCGCCGCATTCCCTCAGGCGTATCTGCGACGAGTGCAATGTCGTCCGCGTACGCCACAATACTGTGACGAGAGCCCAACAGATCGAACCCCGCATCGACCGCGGTAACTGCACGCAGTACCGAGTCGATAGCAAGGTCAAATACAATCGGGCTCAGCGGACAACCCTGCCGCACACCCGAGCGAATAGGGACAGGAGTGGTGTAGCCCTCAGCGGTTCGGACCCGCGTGGAGCACCCGTCATACATGGAATTCCATATATTGACGAGACCCCCCGGCACGCCGGAGCGAACGAGAGCGCGGCGGATCGCCGCGTGCGGGACCGAACCAAACGCATTGGATAGGTCCAGCCACGCGACGACCGCCTGCCGTCGAGTCCGCCGGGCATCAGTCAGGATTTCCTGAAGAACGAAGTTGTGTTCAAAACACCCCTCGTCCCGCAGGAATCCCTTCTGAGCCGGACAGAGCTTGTTGTTAGCGACCGCCCACTCGGTCATACGATCGGCGATGAGCGCGGCAAAAAGCTTGGGGGCGGTGTCTCCCAGTGCGAGAGGGCGCCAGTTTTCTAAAGAGTCACGATCCCCTTTCTTATACACTAATACGGTGTTGGAGGTCTTCCAGGACGCGGGGACTGCCTCACGCCGATAGCACGCGTTAAACAGCGCAGTGAGGAGCCGCGCCCCAGGATCCGCTCCACGGAGGTCACGGTACGTGATACCGTCGGGACCCGGCGCAGAATTCGTCATACGCCGGAGCCGACGGTCCACTTCTCGCTCCGTGAAGGGATCCATGAGGTACGCGTACTCCCCCCCATCGACCGAGGGGTCAGTGGGCTCAGCCGCGCCGGAACCGTCCAGGTCCTCCCCTCCGCGATACAGCCGCTCGAAGTACGCATGAACCCGATCCTTCGGCACTTGGCAGAATTCTACGGGCCCCTGCAATACTTCCCTGACCGCCTTGCGTCGGTTCGTCCTGTACAGTGCCTGCAAGCGCGTAGCCTCGCGCACCCAGCCGCCGCGTCCTTCTCCCGACTGCGGAGGGCCAGCCGGTGCCGACCCTCTTTCCCCCCTTACACCGCCACCGTCTCCCACCGACACCCCTCCCTCGCCGCGCCGCTCTCCCGCCTCACGCGACCGAACTGGACGGTCGCGGACGCCGGATGCACCCCCATCAACCCTCCCCGATGCCTCCTCCCCGAAGAAAGCCGCGACCGAGGCCGCAAACTCCTCCAGGTCCGCAATCGAGGTGACGGCCTCGGCACGCCCAACCAGCACATCGCGCGCGGCCACTCGCCGCCGTCTGCGGAGTCCTGCGACTGCCGCAGGGACAGACCGGCCACCGTATGGCTGGGTAGACGGGCCGGCGACACGCCGCAGGCCTCGGGGGTGCCTCCCGCCTCCGCTGCTCCTCGGACCCACCGGTGTCTCTCCGCTAGCTCCGACGCAGCCGGTTGCGTGTCCTCTCCGCCGACGACCCATCACCCCAGGGACACCCACCGGAGCACTCGGATGACCGACGCCTCCTGGTCCTCCAGGTCGTCCAGCACGCACTCCCGATGCTCCCTCCACGCTGGTCCCCTGAGGTGGGACCCCCGCCTCATCCCCTGAAACAGCGCGGACCAAAGTCCGCTGAACCTGGACCGTGCACGGTCTCATCAATGATTTTAAGCTCGCCGGCGCTTGCAACGGGGGAAGGCCGGGCACCGGGCCCCGCCCCGCGGCCACCGGACTCCCGCCGCCGGGGGAGCCACCGCTCAGCCGCCGCCTCGCCCTTCTCCCCAGGCGCACTCTCCACGGCTCATCCTCCTCTCCACTGTCCCCCTCGCCCTCCGTACTCCCCTGCGCCACCTCCTCCGGATGCCGCCGCTCCTCTTCCCTGGGTGGTGTTAAGGGCCTCTCCTCCTCTCGACGCATCCGCCGTCCGACCAGACACGGCGACACCTCCGTGACGGAGGGGAGGTGGGGGGAACGAGGCAGTGTGCCCCGCCTCCCCGCGGGGAACCCCGTGGACATCACGGGGGACCCGCATGAAACTATCGTCACCGTGCTGGTCGTAAGTGCGGCAGGCGCTGACGACACCGCGGGCATCGCCGGCGGTGATAGTGGCGACCTCTGGCCCCCCACTGGGCCGCCGCGGATGGACTGCGGCGGGGTGGGGGCAGGTCTTGCGGGGGGCATGGTCCCACGTTGCAGGGGGGGCATCCTCGCCGTCCCCTGGGCCCCCTCTCCTTCTGTCGCCCGCGGTGCCAGCGCGGCGCTCAAGTCGCGCACCGCGGTGCCGGCTCTTCGGGTGGTGGATGCCGGCTGGGCCCCTGGGCTTCTCCTCTTCTTTTCCAATGCTCTTCGGGGCCCCCGCGATGCGTTATTGGCCGATGGTCTGGCCTGTGCCCTCGCCTCCGTTGCGCACTTCGCGGCCGATGCGCTCGCCCGAGTCCTGGTGCGAGGCCCCGCCCGGATGATGTTTGGCGGGGTCCTCTCGGGCGACCTTCTCCTCTCGCCCCCCCTCCCGCCGAACGTAGGTGTATCGTCGGCGGACTCCGGTGATGGGAGGGGGGGCCTGCGCGTCGACCTGGTCGCGCCGCTCTTCTCGAGAGGCACGCCGCTGGACCTCCGTATCCTCGGATCATACCTGGACCTCGCCGAGCTGATGGTGGTTGGCGAGGTCACGGAGGTCCTCCTCAATGGTCCATTCGCCTCGCCGGATGGTCTGCGAGGCGATCCGCGTGCCTCTCTTGACGCGAGAGGCGAGCTCTTCCTATTGGCTGCGCCGCGCTTCAATGGAAGCCTGCCTTTACGTTGCGGATGCGCCTTAAGGCCCGTAGTTGCGGCGGCCGGCGCGCCGGCCGTGGCGCCATCCAAGATGGCGGCCGTGCCACCTGTCACCGCTGCTGTTGTTGTTGCTGTTGTGGCCGCCGACGACGATGTTCCGCACGTCGACGGCCCCGGTGCTGCGGTGACGGCCGCGTACGAGGGGGATGTCCTCGCCGGTGGTGTGGCGGGTGTGGATGCTGTTGTTGTTGCAGGTGGTGTTGCTGCTGTTGTTCCTGGCGCCGGAGCCGTGGAGCGCAACCCGGGTTGCCGCGAGTCGGACGGGCGACCTCGCGATGACGCCCCGGCGGACGCCGACGACCCCGGGGCGGAACCCGCCGCCGGCCGGCCCCGCGCATTCGCGGAGGACCCATCATAATTGACATTATTATTGGAGTTATTTGCTCCGTCCGTGCTGCGACCCGCTCGGCCCCGGGGAGTCGCGTGTTCTTTCTTAAAATGAGCCTTTACTGGCCTCACGGGGTAGGCCCCGTATCCACGAAAATCGCACTCCGCGCATTCATAAGTAATTGTATCCCCGGGGTGTTTCGCTTTTAGGTGCTTCGCCAAATGGAGCGGATCGCAGAATTCGCCCCGTGACCTCACCTCCGGGTCCTCCCTCCGCCAACAGCGGGGGCAGTATACCCTCGCCGGGAACGGGTAGTGGAGGACCACCACTTGTGGAGACGCAGACATATTATGACTTACTTTTAGTCAGTTTAACGGCCAAATGCCATTAAATAATTAATAAAAGAGTGCGTGGGTCGCGCGGACAGCGCGCGCAGGGCGAGGGGGCAGCCCGCAGCGGGCGGACCCGCGAGCAGTGGGTCTCGGGATGAACCCGGGGCACACCGCCGTCACGCACTGCACCCTCACGCCGCGCACTCACCGCGGCACCACGCACTACGCATAACTAGCTGTCACGGGACGACAACAACGCACGCACTTAACCTCACTAATCACGGACGGAGCATTCCTCAAAAGAAAAAACGCGGCACCAGACACTTACAGACGCAGACACATCGCCTCGGCACACAAACTCCCGGACACACACTCTCGAGCAATTAGTTAAATAATAATAATAGCAATAAAAATAAAAATATTGGACGCCTAACGTCTAACACGTGGACGCGACCACGTGCGCCGAGCATGAAATATTACAATTTGATCTTAGCTGAGATGTATTTTTTAATATTTATTGCATTTTTATTGAAATATTCCAAATTTTGTTAATTGAAATGATTAACTTTTGGTAGAGAATTTCGCCTTGTGACAGATACATGATTAACTTCATTAAATTATATTTAATATCTTTTTAATCAGTTAGTACTTGTATAATATTATTTGACCAAATATTTTCCTCTGTATCTAAACTTTTACAAATTTTAAACAAATTCTGAATATTATTTCCATGTGTTTTTGTCATTTGAATCGTGGTTATACGTTTCCTATAAGAACACATGTTAATTCGATGCAAATTAAAATCCTTATAACTTGTGAACGCTTTAGTGAATCGATTTAAAAATTGTACTGAAGATTCTAAACACATGTAAAGGACATTCTGTACAATTTTCATGAAATTCTCGATATTTTGAAAATAGGTACAAAACATCCTTAATTCATTTTTAATTTATTTCCTTCTTTTTTATGTTTTTTTTTATTTATTTTTCTTTTATTCAAATTAATCGTGCTAAACTCTGAGTATTTCTGAATATCTCTTTATTATTTAATAGAATGGAGACTGAGATTATTTTGATGCGGGAAAGAGGGAAGAGAATTTTCATATTTTGTTTGCAAGACTATTTTACTTGTTTGTGTGCGATGTAATTTTGCGAAATTTGATAATGATCGCGCAATTTTTTGCATGATTTCAGGTACACGAAAACCGTGGTGGATTCCAGTCCGAATGCTCAGAGATACAATCCTGAAATCACGTTAACGACGACGTCGTCGACGCCGGTTACTTACGCCGGCAGCACGAATATCAGCGCGCTCATTGACCAATTGAGGCACATTAATCAGGTGAGTGCATCAAGTCGTAATTTATCGCTCGATCTCTCGAGTGGATTCATCTCTCTCTCGCATTAAATCGTGCCGCAATTTTCATTCGCTCGAGTCGACGAATCGTGCGACGAACGCGACTGCCGATCGATTCTCTCGTCGAAAAGAAATCCGCAATGTCCTCGAACGAGAAAAGCGCAGAGGCAAAAGTCACGTTCTTCCTTTCTTTTCGTGATTTCGGCGATAGGAACACTTGTCACGTACGCAGATTCGAGCAAATTGCTCGAGCTTTTCCACCAAAATTTTTCTTACATCAATTGTATCCTCATAAAGCTATATTTGATTATTGAATTAATTAACTAGATAAATTGTTACTTATAAAGCGCGAATTATCGAATTAATTAAAATTTTCATTGTTATTTTTCCTTCATTGGCTACAGATCGTATCGCGTATGCGGCTTGTTAACGATTCGTAAACGATTATCGCAATAGCTCATTGATGCGGAAAACCTGCTCGGTGACCTGTAACTCCCAGACGACTGTACCAGACGAATCATAAATTCTCGTCTAATCTAGAATTATTCATAGTCAGGTAGAGATCGCAGACGGTGTGCGCCGAGCACAGGCACGTGTCGCGCTGCGTGGACGGATCTCACCTGAAAAGGCACATGGGTGCTCAAAAGCTGATAGATATCCGATTTCTAGGGCTGCCTATATAAACGCATGTCAAAGATTCTGGGAGATAATTTGCGAAAAATAATTTTAACAGAATTAGTAATTTTAACATAAAATAATTGTAATAAAAAATAACGATTAATTTCAGAAGAAAATCATTACGCATATGTGAGTATCGCATTTACATACATCAAATTTTACATTTAAACGTAAAATTAATTACGCGATAAATTTTTAAATAAATAAGTCTGTTTTCAGTCTCGTTTCGTATTCTTCGGCACAGCCTTTAGCCTTGTTAAAGTTGGCAACCGTCGCGTGTAGGATAGACACATAGCGCCCACACGCATGTTAATTCGCGTGCCGAGAAATCGGGCCGCTTACTTCTGATTAGAGTGTCGTGAAACACGCATGTATACACGGTGTCACGATCAATCTTGCCGCTTACGTATCGCTCGAGCGATAAAAACGACTGTCCTCCGATAAAAATGATTCGTTCAGAATTTTGTTATCTGATAATCCTGTAAGGATGACATTTTTGCCCCGCGAAATTATTCGCTCGAAATCTCTCGGTGCTTGAACGACAGCGAGAAAAATCATTCGTGAGATTCAGATATCCCCACCGTGTATATGCGTGCATACGCAACCCGCGGCATGATATCTATGATACGGTATAGATCGGAAAACCGTTAAATAGCGGACTAGAGATATTATTAACAGGTGCGAGAGAGCTTTGAGTAATGATTACGGAGCGGTCGCGGGATTAAAGGTTTGTATCGATGGCGGATTTTAGCGAAATATAAATCTACGTCATGCATATGTACATATGGTTAGATTTAAATTGACAGTGTCGGCGATTAATTGGACGTTGCTTGCATCTAGAGTCAAATGGGTTAATAGAGATCCTTGGGTAAATGGAACAGCTTAATGAGTCGCCAATCGCGAAATTAATCGCCGTTATTTTCCCTCGTGATCACCGTGTGTGCAACCGCTGAATGAAAGGTTTGATATAATCAATTTCGGAAAATTGTTGGGTTTTATCTCACTTACTCGACTATTTCAATTATACTCTACTTGAACGAGTAATTTGTAACTATATCACACGTAACGAGTAGTATTTCATTGCACAGTGATTAGTTACATGACAGACTAACAGAAATCAAATATCTCTCTTGAGATTGAAAATAAATTACTTTGAAGAATAATTTTAAATTTTAATTAAATAACATAAATATTAGACAAGAAATTTATAAATAAATTTATATATAATTCTAGATAAGAAAATAACATAATTTTCGAGAAAAGAAATTTATTCGATATTTTACGCGACAACTCAATGTGTATCCGACGTCCTTTGTGTCCTCCTGACAGCTGGTACAAACGCAATTGGCGTCCTCACACGACTTCGGTATGTTCCTGGCCGACGAAGCCCAGGACGGTTCCGGAAGCGGAGACAACCCGACGCATCCTTACGGCGAGATTGACGACGACGAGGACAGTCACGGCGATCCCGATGAAGACGAGGGGTCCGGCTCCGGGGACGGAACAGGTTCGTCAGATTCGAGCCGAGGGGCGTCAGGTACTGTATCCTGTATATCCTGTAAGCCGCATTACGTCTCGCATTGATTTGCATTTCGATAATCCGGCCGATGTATTCCTGGTGGAACTCCATTGCCGGATGGATCCATATAGTATCCGCGTATCGTTATTCGTAACGGAACTTCGTTCTCAGGGGAGTTTCATGATATCGAATAGAGTACATTGTCCGAGAATATGTTCGAGCGAAAGGAGAGGAGCCTTTTCGATAAAAATATAATGGAACGAATTAACTCGGAATTTTATTGAATGTAAAAAATGCGTGAAATATTCCCAGCAGAATTCTATTATAAATTCTGCATAGAGATCGCGATATTATTATCGGGGAATATGTGTCGGAGTGAAAACATTTCAATGTTTCTAGATAAAGCATCAAGCTGAGTGGGCGATTGCAAAATTACGCGAAATAAACGAGACCATTTCTCTTATCCAATTGCAAATTGTAAAAAGGCTCCTTTCGTTTCGCTAAAATCGAAAAAAATTGGTTCATCGAGATTATATCACAGATTTGCATATCTCTTCGTTTCAGATCCGGCGACGAAAACCCAGAACGAAAATCGCGGTGCCAGATCGTCGGCGATCTTGCTGCCAATCACCTTCGCTATTGTTTGCGCATCGCTTATCGCTTAATCGGCCATATCGCTGAGACGAGAGACGGGAGGAAGGGACGATTTCAATCTTTTCTTCCCATAGCCAACACATAGACGAGACGTAGATAAGGAAAGATAGACTAGATCCTGCGATCGGAAAGATCGTTAGCGGATCGAATCGATCCGTTTCACGCGGGTCTCTTCCGGCGTCGACAAGAAGAAAGAAAGAGAGAAAGAGAGAGAGAGAGAGGAAGAGAGAGAGAGAGAGATTCAGTGCCCGCCGGAATCGTATATAACGCACTATTGATAATTTATCGGTGGCAGCGTGTTGGGCAGCGAAGCGTACTGTTCCTGCCGCGAGTCCCCTGTTGGAGGCACAGGGTGGTTTTCAATGATATATCGATGCGCGGGGAGTGCGGGAGACAGATTGGTAAAAGTATACGAGAAAGAGGGAGGAAAAAATGCGGCGAAAAAGGAAAGAAAATGAAAAGGAGCGAGTCGCGCCTGAGATGTCGCGCTTGTACAACGCGATGATAAATCTTGGGATGCTTCCGAGATGAAATTTTTCGGCAAAAAATTCGCTAGTTCCTTATATATAGAAATCCGATACCGTGGAACTGGAACGTGTAATGTTCTCCTCCGTGGAATTCGAAATTTATGGCTCTAAAATTTAAATAGGATTTTTCTCCAGAGTTATATATTTTCGCGGAGAGAAACTTGCGGACTTTTTTAAATCTGGATATATTGATTTTTTTACGATCATGCGGGATATTTATTCTTCCTAGTTCCGAAGGAACGAGTCAGCATTGGTACACATATATATCGTTTCAGTCCCAGAGTATCGAGACGATGATCGAGAATCGTTATTAATATCTAGGTCGGGAGGAATGCAAATCAGTATTCTCTCCATTATTTTTTTCCATGGGAAATTTTTCCGAAAGAAATTTACGATTTTATTTTGCGATAGAGTGTTGCACGAACAAAATACGATCGTAAGCCAAAGTTATTAGTGAAAAGTATTACGTATATATTCGTCGTTGTTAAAATTACGAGGCCATAAACAAAATTATCCTACGAGGAATCTTATCAAATCGCGCGCGATAATGTCATTAAAGTCAAAAAGGTATCAGGATGTGGACACTCGTCCATTTAGAAATATCAAGCGCGCCTAATATCTTACCGACTTCTTGACTTAGCGTATGCTCTCTCTCGCGAAACATCATAGACAACAACGTAAATCTAATCGCGCGAATCTCCGACAAAATTATTTCATCAAACGGGAAAATTTTTCAAGTCATGCTGGTATTATATAAGAATGCAGGATGGTCGCGAACCATCGATCGCCGGTTTCAGGAGGGACAAAACTTCCGATTCGAAGGTCGACGAGTCTCACTGTCCGTTTATCTTTCGCGAGAGGGGAAAAAGTATGTCGCGCCGCTCTGAGAAATGGCTTCGAGCAACGTTGTCTCTTCTCTGTTACATTGGATGTACATTTTGTTAGTTGCAAGTTGCAAGTAACGTATGAAAAATTGGCTAACAAGCGCCTAGAAAAGACTGCAATCGCGAATCGCGAAAAGATTCAGGGAGAAAAAGAGAGAGAGAGAGAGAGCTGATAGCGCGCCGATAACTCTGATAGATAATTAGTTGACAGATTCCATTCTTGCCTTTACAGGGCGGTATTCGATCTGTTTATGGAATCTAGACGTTTTCACTCAAAGTTTATTCCGACAAATGTAGAAATATTTTATTCGGGATTTACGTCTTTATCTCTTGTTAATTTATATCTTTATCTCGTCTTTGTTACAAAAGTAAAAAATTATTTAAATAAGAGAGATATTGAAATCTAAATTTTCTAACACATCGATTAGGTGTTTCTCTTTCTTCAATCTTGATATTATTTATTACAGAACTAAATTTGTTCTCTTTATTTGTACATATATCTTATTTCCATTTTTTTTAAATTTATTTTCTCGATGATCATTGAATCATATAAAGTCTAAATTCGATATCTCGTGCGATCACGTTCGGTGCCGAATACCAGATGTACATATGTACATGCAAAACGAAAGTATTTTACCTTCACTTGCTCTTGTATGACTCGTGCAAGAAGTCGTACGCAAATATCGTTATATTCTCGAGCCAATCGGCCGCGAATCGTGCGCCAACCAAACAGCAGTCACGTTAATAATAACGTGTGTGCCTCGTGTATTTCTCGTGCGCGCTGTTCTCCGTTTTTTGTATAAAGCAGGGAAAAGTGTCTTTTTCGCCCGCTTCGGCGGATGTCGTCATCGATATATTATTATTAGAAGAACGACAAAGGGGGGAGGAGGCCATATATTATCATCCGAACGTCGGTGATAACGCGCATATATATGCCATATATAAATATATATATATATATACATTATATACGTACGAAAGTTAACTGCCAAAATGCCAGTTACTACGCGATCGAGAGCTGATTTTTACTCGAGACGATAATTATTATTCGCTGCGCGAACCTTGAGATCCCTATGTAAATGTACTAGTGTGCGATACGTCTTCTCTGCGTGAGTATACACTCTTCTGTGATTTATCTTTCACTTTTCCTTCCTAGAAAAAAGGGGCCTTTTTAACGCAGCAGACACAAAAAAAATTTGTCGAATAAAATAAAACAAGAAAAAAAAACAAAAAAAAAACCCCGCGACTCGCTCCCGCTGAAATATTTTCGAGTTTTTTCAAGTAGATATTGATCCGGATAATTTGCCGGAAATTACGTAAATATATATGTCATTCTAGATCGTAATCAGTAGTCTCTCGAAAAATCGTCGGTATCGTGGATCATTCGACATTCGCATCAAAGTAATACATATACATTTCTTTTTTATTAATTTTACATACATATATTTTTTCTTATTTATTTTTCATTATTAATTATTTTAAAAGTTGGAAGAAAGTAAATCTTCTGCCAACTAATTATATAATTGATCATTTTTTAGCTTGTAATGTAGAATCTAATCAGCACAATAAATTTTCTTATTTATAATTATTTTTTCACAACACACAGTGCAATAACATTGGAGATATATTCATCGCAAATCATGATATTAACAAACAGTATTATAAGTTCGATGATACAATTGCATTATGGTACATTTTTACATCATCTTGCATATTAGATTATTCTTAAAAAGGATATCTATTCAGAGCTGACATATTAATTAACGCGATCGATCATAAAATGAAGCTCTGTGACAATTTTATTTTCATCGTAGAAGAAATGTCAATATTTTTTGGAAATTTTGCCAACGTATTAACTAATTGAAAAATACGTAACGTAAAATACGTAACGTGCCAAATCGGTTTACGTTCTCTCTAATATTCAATTATCATGCATAAATTAATTAATAAGAGCGCAAATATTCTAGTGGTATTGCAATTTTGATATTTTTAAATCATGATGTTACGTTTATATTAAAAAAGAAAATAGTTAAATTTTTACATTTTTATATACTTTGATATTTTTCATGGAAATACTTTGAAAGAGATTTTAATCTCTCGTTTTGCATTGTCACTTCTTCGTGCGGACTTTTTCGCGCTTCCCGAATAATTTTCGCGATTAATTCAACGATAATTCCAGATTGAGATCGTCGTCGATGATCCACGATCGCGATTCAGTAAAGATAACTAATCTTGAATATCTCGATGCCGTTATTTTTCTTAATGTCCAGAGCGTTCCATGACGCAAGATTCTTTCTTGGATCGATATCTTATATAGCATTACGATATTAACCAGCCGAATTGTATCTCATTATTAAAATTAAGGGTATTATCCCGTCACGTTTTTCACGCGCACATGACTCGCACATTTAACTTGACGGTAAAAGTCGAAAGAGGGAACTATTTCCACTGTGTTATATATATATATACGCGAAACCGAGGAACTTTCGACGTTCTCGTGGCAAATTTTGTGCACATGACACTTGAATCTGGCGATTTGCTTTTTAAATCAATCAGAATGCTTTTGAGACTCTGAAATGATTGCATATTTCCTAATTAATATATTAACTATAATATTATTAAAAAATGATAGTTTATGACGCGTAAAATTACGAGAAAATGGTGACTTTATTTTTTATTTTATATATTATAATCGAAAATTACATAAATTATTTGAAATTAATTTTGTTATTTTATATACATGTATATATATTTTTTTTCTTGAGGAGAGAGAAGAAAGCGATTTATTTGCGATACACTAGCTAAAAATTTTATTGTTCTGATTGATTTGATATAAGAAAGTATAAAAATGATAGTCGGCAACAAACAAAACATCGTTTCTTCGAGGTAGCGCGAGTCGCGACGTTTCGGCGACGCCGTATTCGTTTTGTATATTTGATTTTCGGATATCTTTGAGGATGAGTGAGTGCCTTTCTGAATATCCCTGGCCGTAGCGTCGCGTCGTCGTTCTTTGGATGAGAGAAAGAGTAACCCGAGTGACTACTCGAATAAGGGTGCGGAACCGAGCTCTTTCTCGCTATAGCGTACATGTGTATATGTCAGAATATATATATAATGATAGCTTTCTCTTTTCCTTTTGTAATTTCTTCCATCGTACACTCGCCTCTAACGTTTCTACGTGAGCTCTCCGAAGATATCTAGCAGCTTCGCAAACATTTATTCCAACATTGTGTTAGGATAACACATCGCGTGGGCGAAAGAGCGGATGGTTTGCAAATTGATAGAAATGCGATTGAATTATAGAAGCGAGATATGTTTGAATAATCTTGAGACGGTAATCTCTCATTTCCGATTTGGCCAACGATATAGACCTCTCGATATAAAATATTCAACACATCTATTTTAAACGACCTTATTTTATAAATTATTGAAGTAAATATCTATTAAAAATAAGATCAAATCAATTGCCTTTAGTTTTAGATATATCTTGTGAAATTGAATTCAGAAACGTCCCTCGTGTGATTTAAAGTGTTGAGGATTCTACCCCGCACAACATACATCTCAAAATGAAAGTATTGCCTTTTACAGATATATATTATTAAATATTTGTACGAAACTCTCAAAATATTACAATGATATTTTTTTCTTCAGAGATCTCAAAATTGGATATCAAGTCTAGATACTAAAAATAAAAGAATAGATATATAGGATTCTTAAAGTGACTATCTAGTTTGGAATTATAAAAAGCTTTTAAGAAAAAAATATAAATACATAATTTAAATAAAATATATACTCATGGATTTAATTTAATTATTAGTTTCGTGACCATCAATATCTTTATATTAGACTTTAAAACGATCAATTTTTTCACGGAATAAACTTATAAATACATAAAATTGTTAATAATAATGGACATGCCGTTATAACAATTTTTTAAAACATCTATAATTTTATCAAAAAAGTCACTTTAGAAATATCCTATATGTATGAAATTTAAAAGAAATTAGGCGTTTTCTCTCTCAAAGAAAGCAATATATAGCAATGATTTTATCATCAAATCGCTAACGAAGGAAATTCGATATCTGAATCCGTTTTGCGATGATCCAATTAGATCATTTATATCCATTTATTCGATGAGAGAGAGAGAGAGAGAGAACAACAGCCCATGACAAACGCCGATTCACTCTCTTGAACGTGTCATTGTCCGGGAGATCTCTTCCCTTTCAGAGCTCTAATAAGATCGAAATCCGGTGAAAGAGAACGAACCGGACTCGCCATGGTGATGCCCGTAGCGCAAAGAGCCCTAATTCAGCGTGGGTCAGGCATGCAATTGTTCGACTTTACCGTCGTAATTCGTCAATTTCGCAGGCTTTTGTCGGGCATATTTAAGCAGCGCATTCAGACAAATCTCTCAAACGTGCGCGCGACTCGTCCTTACGTCTGCCAACATCGGTCGGTCTTGGACCCTCGTTGCCTCGTTTCCTGGTGACGATTTCGATACAGATACTAATTTGTCATAGTACGCGTAAACGATAATGTAACAATGTTTAGAACGATAATGTAACAAAATTTAGAACAATTATAACGTTGCGTCAATTAATATCTTATTTCATATCATTAGTATTATTATTCTAACATTGCCGAGATAACAATCATCATACGTGCTGGTTTCAGAAAATGTGCGTTATACGTTTATTTAAACTTAACATGAAGATCGTTCAAGTCATTAACATAATCAGGAAATTGGAGTTTATAAGACTGAAGATGTGTGTGGGGGATAATGTCCGTGTTGATACGGCTTTAATTTAATGGCTAATTTAATGACAACGATCCGCTCTTTCGTCATCAAAATTTGCGAGAGAATAAGGACAAGGAGAGAGATAAGCGGGTGCTGTAGAAAATGCGAGTTACACACGATGCAAGAAAATAGAAATGAGAATGTGAAAGAGAGAGAAAGAGAGAGCGAAAAAGAAGGAAAGTGATCTGTAAATATATAACGAATGCCTGCTGTATTTATATAGTTATTAATACGTTAAAAATATCGACCTAAATGAAAGTAGCAGCTAATAAAGCAATTATTAAAGTAATTATCGACGAAGTAACCGTTAATTATAATGTTGAAGCGAGTCTAATTATATTATGATATGCGTAAAGGAAACATATGCGAAGATGCGAACGCGGAAGGAAACTCGAGCGATCGATTAGGAATACAATTTTTTCTTTTTTCTTTTTTTTTTTTCATCAATACGCGTATCGCATCTCTCGTTGTTATTGCCATTTGCCTCGTATAGCGAAGCGGTTTGTCTCCTTATCTTGAGATTTTCTTCGTTTATCTTGTGAGAGCGAATGCGGGGAACGAGACGCGAACGAAATACACGAACAATCGTTCTTATAATCGTTCGATCGAATCGCTTTGTAATTATACCTATGTAATTAAGAATGAGAGAGAGAGAGAGAGAGAACGAACATATGTGTGTGTGTGTCTATATGTGAGAGAAAAAGAGTGCGCGCATTTGTTCCGATTACACTGTATAACAATTATTAGTCTAGCATGATGCATATTTTATCGTACGTACTAACAAGATCCGTTGTTTTTTTTACGGAACCATTGCGTTACACACTTAGCTATTTAATGCGTCTTGCAATATTTATTGTTGCGCCTTGCGTTTACTATGTGATATAGGGCTACTTATATTATTATCTCGTCGCGTTCTTGTTTCACTATCTAATTGGGCGAGAATCAACGCGCGTTTCCCGACGTCGTCGGGCGAAAGGAAGGAGATCAACTGTTCGCGTTGCTCCATCGATCGTTTATTGCACTTCGTTTAATTACATAATCGTCCGAACTGATTATAAACTCGTCGCGATAACGATGTTGACGACGTTAATTATACATACAATCGCGATTGTAACAGATTAATTTTCTTCATATGTGATGATTCCACTATTCTATCAGATTGTAATAAAAATAGCTTTGCCTATTATTTCAAAAATTCTGAAATATCTCGACATTTTTATCGTAGAATTATAGACAAACTAACAAAATTCAAGCTGTGAAAGTATAATCCCCTTCCCTCCCCTCCTTCTCCTTCGACTTTTAAAGAGGCAATTTCGATTCGTAGTTAGACAAGCGAAAATAGTGTATGTAACATGAGATAGTTTCGATCACGCGCAGTCCTCTCGATTAAGTCACTAACCCAAATTGAACGAGAAAGCGGTAGTAAAGTGAGCGTAGGTAAAAAGAAGATGCGACAGAGAGGGAGAAGAATGCGAACGATGATCGTGAGCAATCTACATATGTATATAATGTGTCTACGCGTACATTCTTGTGTGCCTGTATGCGCATTCTTATATACATACATTATACCTACACACGCACGCGTACAGGAACGTGTACCTGCGCGCGCGCGCGCGCGCGCGTTATCATAAGTGTTATACGAGAGATTAAAATTATTATTAATTATTATCGCGGTTAATTCAGTCGCGACGACGCGTACACGTCAATCGGCGACGATCTGTAAAAACTGTTTACGAGTGAATGACGAATAAAATATTATACAACAATGTGAGAGCTTGTCTGTATCCTGGTAAGTCGCGCGAAAACGATTCTAAGAAGTAACGTGATAAAATTTAGATTATCGATGACAAAATCATAAAAATATAATAATTATTAGTGATTAAGTTATATATCGTTGGAAAAAATAATTGTATAATGTGTTGCTTATCGAGATACAGAATATCAAGTTGCAAATAATTTTATTAGTATAATACTGATTAGTGATATTACTAATTTTTTATTAGTAATATTGATTGGTGATATTACTAATTAATATTAACTAATTTTACCTAATATTTTTAAATGTAAAATAGTTAAGACTTTTTTATTGTCTTTCATAGAATCTTACCGCGAAGATCGATAGAAGCGCTCAGTAACTCATTCATTCTTTACGTCATAATGATTTATTGCTGGTGTTATACTTACAATAATTTCTGCACTTTCACGTAATGCGTACAATATAAATTATCTGTGACTTGGCAAATTCAATAGTAAAGATACATCATTTTTAGAGGATCCTTTGCCATCGCAATACAGTGTTTATAAAGTGCGACTTATTGTCGTCATAATATGAACTTGAACGATGAGATGTATTACATTTTTCTACCGGCACTGAATTTTTACATATTTTTCATATTTTTTTATGTATACGGCAAATATGGAGAAATTTGTGTACGAAATTCTTAGATACTTTATACAATGTGTTAATTTTTTTGGCAAAGTATAAAAGTCTTAATTATATTCTAGAGAAGACGTTTTGTCTCTTTGGAATCTGTTTAGATTCAAAATTAATCGTCTGTTTGATTAGATTAGACTGCCTCTTTAAATTTGGCAGAAAAATCCTCTTTCATACTCGATCTTTGGCTCGATATCGAGTAAGTGTTGCTGAAATCTTAGAGAAAAACATGTCGCCTCAAGTCCATATAAAATTTCCGTCTTTTGGGGATTGTATCTGTTTACATTCGATGCTCGCATGTTTCTTCAGATTTCAATACCTCTCTCTCCCAAAAGCTCAGTAGCTTTCCACGTAGTTTTCCTTGGTGAACAGCGTCCTTTTTCAACCTGACGATTGTCAAAGATCTTGGCGCTATTGATTATTTTACTCTCCATCGTTCGATAATAAGGCCGACACATCGCCAATTCTATTCTTAGCCGAATCAATTTTCTTCGTTCACTTCCGGGAATATCATCACGAATAACACATTATTCTCTTTGATAAGAAAACTTTATTGCGCAATAGTTGCACAAGAGTTGTCTTGCTCGCGTTTTCGAATACGTTTGATGAATGTACTTAAAAGCTTGATCAAGTTCTCGATACCTTCCAAATAATTAAAATCCAAATCGGAGTCATCCGCAGGGAAAACGTGTGTAAAATCAATCATGTTTACTCTGACCCAATTGCAGTTGTTTTCTATGTTGCGAATATCTTTAATCGTGACGTTATTCGTGCATGGAAGCGAAAATTGGCTCGGACAAGATCGACAGAGGCGGTTTATCTTAAAATCTGGACTATAAAATCCGCTCCGATTCAATATCTGCTCACACGCTATCGGCACGGATCCGCTGAGACTTACGCTCCTTTTGAGTATTGGTCTACTTGTCTGCGCCTCCATCCAATTTCTCTTGATTCCTACGTTGGAAACGGACGCGACCAACGCGACTTGCTCGGATACGTTTGGGCCTGAAGTGGTACGACTCGTCGACGGAAAGAACGCGGACTTATCTCTGGAGTACATCTGATCATTGGGATCTTCATTATCAGAACGACAGCACTGCCGTAATTTTCGAGCGTCGTAGGCGACCAAAAGTGAACTGGAGTAGAAGCGATATTTCCGCTGTATACGGAAGAACAGCATGATTCTCCCCAGGAGTGACAACAGTGCGAAGATCAACTGCCGACAGGCTGGCCTCTCAGGTGTTATGTTCAAGAAAGTTTCATTGCATGAAAAAAAATTTTTAACGCGGTTTTGAAAGATGTAAAACTTAAAGTCTTATCACTAAGTCATAAAATATGTCGCAAAGATTTTTCTTCTCATTAATGCGCCCAACGCTGCTAACGTCTAATTTGCTATTGACTCTAGAACATTGACATGGAATTATTATCGTTTAATATAATAATATGATTTAAAATATAGTAATAGAAAATTATACAATATAGGAAAGGATCAATAGAATGTGCGCAATTATTTTAAATTATGACAAAATATGACGAAATATCATAGAAGCAACGTGATTAAGTCCTGTCAAGGTTCTAGAGTTAAAACTCGTTCCATTGATATTTGCAATTTGAAAAATACACTAATTTTGATTTCCGATCGATCACCAGTGAGTTAAGAGACTTAGCCTTAGCCATGCTCGAATCGGAGGCGGACAACGTGCTATCTCGGTTATTTAAGAAAACTCACTACGCCCTACGTCCTGAAATAGACTTTTAGTATTCGTAAATCTTGAATTCATTTGCATCGGGTGACAGTTATTCTTTTTTTTTCTTATCGAACTTTGTATGTCTCCTAAAACTCTAAAGCAGATACCTTCTACGACGCCCTTGGCATCAAGTTTCTTGCCATAATCTCTGTCAAATTTTTTTAATCGTCCAGTGGAGAGACAATATACTTGAAAACCGGTTATACAAAAACCATAAGCACGCTTCGATTCGGCATACTTGATTTCTTCCGTTGCCCTCTTCTCTGGCGTGGCTAAAGGATCCCACGTGCGACGGCCAATCTTGATATCCATCACACATGGTTCTGCCATGCCCTCCGTGATATCCTTAAGCTTGAGAAACTTCGTACCTGTCATCAAATAAATAGATTAGATAAAATATTAATATTGATAGATGCTATCTAGATATCAAGATAAATAATATTCATAACAGTAAATTCTAATACAATTAATTCTTATACAATTACAATTGATATATTCTATAAATGCATGTATAATTTTATATTATTTACATTATATACATTATATATAAAAAAAATGTTGAGAGAGAAAGAGATCAAGTTAAACGTCGTTTCACTTTAATTACAAAGATATTGTATCGCGTTTAGATTGTAGGAAAATCTTTACGTTTGTTAAAGACTTGTAGTTCTGTTGTGCCAAAATAGCATGGAACGAATTTTTTTAGTTGCACTATCGTGGCATCATGGGAATTCTTCAAGTCCTCGTAGAATGCAATTTCTCTTTCCCCGATGATCGCTTTAGTCGCCGGTTTCAATACATGTCCAGTCCGTCTGCATACCAACATGCCTGCATAAATACACCCCTTTGTAAATTTATCTAATACACATAAACAAATATTAATACTATCGATAAATGTGTGATATATTATTTCCAATTATATTCAAATGATATAAAATATTATTGCATATATGTTATTTTATAATTAATATTATAGAGATTCTCTGCTTATGCTTCAGATCGATAAATTAAAAGTAGTATATAGGAATACATAGATCGACCTTAATATATATTTTTGAATGCGGTGTGTACAAAAATATGCGCAAGATAAGATTAGAATTGAGCAATTATTAGAATAGTACTAAATCAAGAGGAGATAAATCAACCGTGCAAAATGCAAACATTTCTGAATTTTCATCAGACTTCAAACATTACTTGATATAATTTGTAATCTTCTATTATTTTACGTATATTTTAAAAAAAGAGGAAGAGGAATTCCTTTTACATTTTAAATTCTGAACAAAAAGATCTGAGTTTAATAAGATATAATAAAGATCTAAATTTAATATATCTTGAAAAACTTTTATTTTGAAAAACACACTCTCAATAACTTGCATTAATTTTAATTAAATTTAATTTATTATAAATTTTGAATTTTGTGTCAATAATTATATAATGGTTCCATCTGCCTCTTTGTATACATGATTAATTTATATTAATATATAATTTTATACTGCTTTACATTAATATATAATATTTTATATATTAATTATATATTCATATAATTTTATATTGAAATTTATGTGATATAACTTTACATTAAATCATACCAATATATAATTTTAAATATCCCACAAATAAAATGCGCGCAAAATTTTCGCACTTACCAATAGTGTGTCTATCACCGTCGAAGAAGTGGCCGGCCATCTGACATTCTAGGGGATTCAGTCCATCGGGGAACATACATCCTGCCAATCCGGAGGTCGTTTTGCTCCATTCCACATGCGGCATTTTATCGACATGGCTCTCGTCTGATTCTAGAGTCGTCATAATTAATAGCGGAAGATACGGCAACAATTATCTCTGCAATTAAACGTCGCGCGTTCCTCGTAGATCACGTCGGGGGTTCGGTGCACTTTCGCTAAACACACATTCTATAAATATGCGAAAATAATTTACAATATATTATTTATTAATATGTTATAAATTTTTTTTCTTGTAGTGTTACTTTGACAAAGAGGGAGAGAGAGAGAGACGCGACGATCGATGCGAAATTTTTTATCGCGTATGTAAAAAATTGCGCTCACCTTGAAATTAACACGGTTTCGCTTATCATTGGATTTAATACGTGTTTTTATTCGAATACGTACATCTTCGCGCGAAATTTTTCACTGCAACTCGGAGCGACTGAGCGCGCTCTTTAATAATCACTCTTTTAATCGTTCTGCGAATTTATTCTTTTCCTTGTATCTTTCCGTGTATCTTTCCGTTATCTCTTTAGCTATCTCTCTTACCGGTTTTTTCCTAGTACACTTTAAGTAGACAATTATCGCAAAAGATATAACGTATCGGTGATGTCAAATAACAACGAACGATGACACAATAATCGAGTATCAATTTATATTAATATCGAACGTTGTGCTTAGATTTATTCTTTTTTGCCGAATTAGAATAGAAAATGAGATAGATATAAATCTATAAAAATTCAAGAGAGAAAGAAAAAACGAGAAATGGAAAAAGTTCAGCTAAATAGAACAGATTTATTGCTGCACTTTGCCTTTAATTGTTTCAAAATTATGTATATAATATATGTTGACATATATATATGACATCATATATTATATAATTTTGAAACAATGAAAGGCAAAGTGCAGCAATAAATCTATTCTATTTAGCTGAACTTTTTGCATTTCTCGTTTTTTCTTTCTCTCTTGAATTTTATATATATATATATATGACATCATATATATTATAAAAATACTAATGATATCTAATATATATATCCAAAAATTGTCAAATTATTTCAAAACGAAAATTATCTAAAAATATATTCGAATATATATACATCTAAATATTCAAATGAAAGATATAGAAAGATCGTCTTCAGAGACGCCGGTTTAATTTTCGCGCTCCTACGGTGAAACTCCATAATGAAATTTACGTTTCTCGGATGAGATGCAATTTTCGAATTCGAGTCAAATCGAATTGTTTTGACACACGAAACCGCGATAATCGCGAGCGATGATCATTCGCTGACAAAGCCGAGATAATTGTCGCGAGATAAGCCCGTATCGCGAGTACTCCGAAAACTCGCCTTGAAGCTTTCAAGATAAATCGCGCGCGTAAATCTCGGAATTAACTGCCTTATTTAAAAAATAAATAAATAAATAAATAAATAAATAAAAAAAAAATCGCGTCTAACCTCACTCCACTTTTCTCTCTCTGTCACTTACTCTCCTCCCCCCTCTCTCTCTTTCTGTCACTCTACCTGCTCGCGTGCACGCTTCGCGTGAAAATAACAAAAGATCGATATATAAACCGTACACACGTATTTTCTTTCTTTCTCTCTCTCTTTGGATTCGGTTGTTAGCCCGATCTTACGCGCGCGCCGTTTATAACCTATACCGCGAACGCGACGACGACGCGAAAACTCACGGTGATCGCGCGTAGACGACGAGGCGTATCTTTTCTCGATAAGCAAAAATACCGTTCTCGTTAGATCGACTACGTTTGCCAAAGTTTCCGTTGCCTCTCATCCGTCCGCACTCGTCACGATACCATTCCGTTATATGTGCTTTCACCGCCGTCAGAGCGCTCTGCTACGTACACAGCTTTAGAGCATGAACGTAAATATCAACGTAGACATGTCGAGCCGTTGACATTTCAGCATGTCGTCTGCTTCGCGAGCTCAACACGGCTGTCGATAAAATGGCGGAATCACCAATAACTGTCCAATTAGGTGGAGGAACCACCGATATTCCATTTCGATCGACCAATCAAAACGAAAAGAGCAAACGTTTCTTCATTCTGATTGGTTGACGCAATTCTTTGAGGCATCTCTAGTATCTCGATGATCATAGTCAAAAAAGATGTATACAAAGACGCATGTCACTTTGGCTATAGATACAGAGTTGTATTATTTAGTCGTATAATTTTCAGTTCAAATTTTTGTTATATTAGAAAACTCTTATGCAAAATTATTTAGATGAGTTAGTCTGTAATTAAGTAATACTTGCTTTATATCGTGAATTTAGAAATTATCTTCAGTTTTGAATAATAGAGGTATGTTAAATTTTTATTTCATCGTTACAATTAAAATTATATTATTTTAAATAATTTACTAATATTTTTATGAATTATGTCTCATCAAAATAATATAATGCATTTCTACTATATAACTCGGTAGCTGCCAGCAAATGATAGATTTCGAGGTGCATTAATTTTATTCGAAAATAAAATTGTAGTTATTCTTAAACTGTCCATTTCATACATCTCGTATCTAGATGAGTACCTAGACACTTTATGCAACAATATCTTGCACCGCAAGGTATACATGTGTAATTACTAGGAAAACCACATACTGCGCAAAAATGCCTCTCGGGAAATCGAGAAGGTGGTGCCTGAGCACAAGTATAATTTGGTGGATTAGAATTTATATTCAGATCTTCCTCGACAAGCTGAGCAAACGTTTTGCGAAAGCGTTGCTTGTAGTATTCCGCAGAGCGAGTTTTCTTTTTTCGGCTGCCACCTCTATTGTCTAGTGTCTCTTGAAATTTTGGTACTTTTTTGCTCATCACTAAAATGAAAAAATTCAATTGATTGTAATATTATTCGTTGCAATATATTTAGGGTAGGTGTATTTTGATGGCATACCTAAGTCAGCATGTGGATCATCATGGAAATTATCTTGTTCCAATGCTTCCAAGGCCTTCTTTTGCCTGCGTTTACGAGCAACATCGTCAAGCACTCTCTTTTGAAATGCATCCTTTATTCTACCAGATTCTCGAGCCATTCTTTGATTTTATAATATTACAAGTCTTAAAGTATAAATTTTTATATATCTTCTTTTGTTTTGTTTATTTTTCTGCATATGTGAATGATATTTGATCCATTAGATCATCCACTTTTGCTTGCAAAGTGTCTAATATATCAGCAGATATAAATAGGTGTCTCTCGTCCAGATCTTGAATTATAAACTTTCTTCCCAGTGCAGATGTTTCATCCAAATGTAGGAGAAACTGTTTCATAGCTGCATCACTAAAAATACACAATTTTGTTTAATTAATAATTTTTGTAATATTGCAGATACATAGATACCATGTCCAGAAGAAAAGGTGTTTCACTCGATGAGAAACGTTTAAGAATAATACAAATATTTCATGAAAAAAAAGAATTCTTTACGCTAAAGGAAATTGAAAAAATTGCTTCAAAGGAAAAGAAAATTGTGGTGCAATCTGTTCAAGATGTACTACAAGCATTGGTGGATGATGGTTTAGTACAATCTGAGAAAATTGGCAATTCTATATTCTTTTGGAAATTTCCAGGGTAATTCTATGAAAATTATATATTGCTGTGTTCAAAAAAACCACAGGATAGAAAATAGTTGAGAAATTATATTTTATAGACAAAATATTGCTGCAACGGAATGCAAAATAGCAGATACAAGCAAAAAGATAGTTGAAACAGAATTTAAACTTCAAAAGCTGAAGGAAGAGATACAGAAAGAAAAGGTGACATAAAAATTAATATTATATATTTAATGTCATACTAAATTCATATCTAGTATTTTTTGCAATTATCATTTATTATATAGGAATTAAAGAATGATACAGAGGAGAGGAGAATATTATTGGAAGAAGTGGAATGTTTAAAGAAAGAGGAACAAGAAATTCAAAAGCAAATTGCCAAATTCAGTGTTATCAATCCAGAAGAAATTGCAGAAATAAAAAGGAAAGCACAGGTATCGAGCACTAAAATAAATCTAATAATTAATTTATCTCTTTCTTAAATATCAAGCGACAATTTTAATCATTTTTATATTCCATTTAACGAGATATGTAATATTAAATTTTACTGAAATTGGCAATGTGTAATGCTTTGTTAGAGGGCCAAAGACCTAGCAAATATATGGACGGACAACATTTTTGCTATACAGAGCTGGTCCAGAACTAAGTTTAACATCTCGGAACAAGATCTCAATAAGCAATTTAATATTCCTGATGGCTTGGATTACATAGAATAAGTCTCATTCTCTGCTAGCTTGTAATTTGTTATTAACAAATTATTTTTTTTATTTTTTTTTAAATAAACTTACCATTCAACTAGAATGCCTTTTGTGACATTTACCATGTCTCGGAATTATCTTCTCTTGAGAAAAATAAATAATGAGGGTCGGGTTTTGATAAATAACGCTTTTTAAACTTTTAGCAAGCTCCCTCGCGTGCTGAAAGAAACGCGAATAATCACTTTTCCAGATCATTCATCGGATAAACCAGAACAAACTAAATAACATAAAGCATAAAGAAATATTTATTAGAGAAGAAACATGATATGAAATGACGGATACATGATTTTCAGAACCATCTACTTTGACATCCCTTTTTAGCGATGAACAACTTTTCCAATCATCTAATCACATCTGATTTCTAATGATAAAAAGATTCTTTAATCAGAGTAACGTCATAATGGACTAATTTTATACTAATAATAGCAATTTTTTCAAAATCCTACGAGAGAGAAAATTATGCCCAATCTTGAGCTTGACATTTGCAAGTATGGAGTCGTTTCATTGGCCAATCGGGGTAAAGTATTTCTCTGTCCTGATTGGTCGATCAATAGAACCGGTGTGATGGACAAAAAATGGCGGACCAATCAAGAAACCGTGTTATCTTGTAACATAATTTAATTTTAATCATCTATAAATTACTAATAATTATATTTTTAGCGTTGAATTAAACATGCGAAACAAATCAAAACAAATAGATAAGTAGGATCAAGTACAATATAAGACACAAGTGCAAAAATTGGCGGCCTAAAGTCGCTAAATTAACAAAGTACCGCAATTTTGATCTCAATAAGATAAGCTGGAGCAAAAATGGCGTCCGATAGTATAGATATAGGCTGCGATTGTTGCATTTCTCCACGCAACAACCTGGCATTTTTGATATTTTCTTCTTTTTTTGCGCAACAAAAGGAGTTTTCTCACCTCACACACAACAGGACACAGGACAAACCAGGATCAAGGTTAGAAAAATTGCACTTAGTATAGATAGCTACACAAAGTGTGCACTATCTGCACTATGCGGTACTTTGTTAATCTAGTGACTTTACCCGCCAGAATGTCAAGGTTCGTTCGAACGCGTGACGCGCGTAAACATAATACACGTATGTATGTGCGCCAACAGCTCTTTTAAGAAAATACTCAGGACTGAAACAGTTTCACCTACTGGCCAATTGACGAGTTTTTTGTATCAGTGATTGGTAGAATTGTCTTATATATGAAACCGTTGAACTTTTTTGAAAAGTTTATTCGTCGTTGACGCGATATTAACGTCCGGAATAAGTGGAATATATTCGTAAGTTATATACAATTTTATTACTAATAAATAGTTGATTGCTCTCGAAATACGATACTCGATTATTCAATACAGGAATCAACATTATAAATGATTACTTTGTTGCAATCTTTACGAGCAATGATTATTCTTCTATTTCTATTTCGTTTCTATCCTAATATATATGTGTACACACACACACACATACATTTAGAATTCTAATATAATAAATAAATATTCTCTCTGATATCATTTGATCTAAATATAATTTGATTCAGAACGCGCAATAAAACGATCGAATAAAAATCGGATAATTAACATAACGGAAATATATATTTTCAAAGTTATATACAAGTGTATTTATATACAAGTATATCTTTAAAGTCACACACACACACACACACACACACACACACACACACACACACACACACACGTACACTGAGAAAAAAAAGTTGTTAACTCGACTAAACCGTTTAACTAAATTATTATTTTTTTAATTGAAATATTGAAATATTTAAGTTAAATAAATGTCGTGTTAGATTTATAATAGTTAAATATTCCAATTAAAAAGATAATAATTTAGTTAAATGGTTTAGTTAAGTTAACAACTTTTCTTCTCAGTGTACACTGATTAATTATTTATTAAACCTCACGAGATGTATTAATCGTTTAATAATATAAGTGTATTTATATCCAAGTATTTTTAAAGTCTCACACACACACGTACATTGAGAAAAAAAAGTTGTTGACTCAACTAAACCGTTTAACTAAATTATTATTTTTTTAATTAAAATATTGAAATATTTAAGTTAAATAAATGTCATATTAGATTTATAATAGTTAAATATTCCAGTTAAAAAGATAATAATTTAGTTAAATGGTTTAGTTAAGTTAACAACTTTTTTTCTTTTACAATTAATCTTTTCTCTGTCTACTATTTGATTGTTTTACGCTTTTAGAAAGTAAAGTTCTATAATGTAACTTTTAATTTTGTATTTCATATGAAATTATTATTTTAAACATAATAATTTTCTTTCTTTGCATTTCTATCATGAATAGACATTTCCAACCTTTACTAAAAAAACTAAAAATATCCCTCAATTTTTTCTCTCTTCGGACAATTTATTTACATTTATATATAATTCTCTTTATTCCTTTAAAAATGAACATTGAGAACAAGGTACACGCGTATTGTAAATGTCAAAAAATGATCGCGCGAATATTATAATTGTGAATATATAAAAATAAATGCAATATACTATGAATTTTCTACGTCATATATTGAATCGAAATTGCACAAAAGAGGAAAAGAAGAACAAGCCTATGAATAGACATTACCATTTTTTACTAAAAAAAAAAAATTAAAAATATCTCTCAATTTTTTCTGTCTTCCTTCAGGCAAGTCTACATATATGATCAATATGATTAATTGATTCCATCTTTATATATTTATCATTATGTGCTATTAATTAAAGCCGTAAACAATATTTCAGAAATCAAAGTTATGCGAACGTTGCGCGCAGGAATGGCCATGCGCAGAAACGAATGCGCATTGGTTCGGCCGCCATGTTGGCGCGTGACTGCTACGTCATACGCGTCATAGCAACGTCATACGCGTCATACGTGACTCGGAGTCATACGCAGTTACACGGATCGTCGTACGTCCGCATTTTTCGCGTCTTTTAATCGTTTTTAAACGAATATCGCGAGTGAACGAGCGTCGAAAGTGTCCAAGGATGATCGCGCGACTTTTATAGTGTGTCGATGGAAACGCGAGACAGCGATTTTTGAGGATATTCAGTGATGGCGTCATCGCGAAGATGGAGCGAAGTTGCGTCGCGTTATACACGCCCTTGATGATGATTATCGGATGCGAGCGAATATCGGGAGTGCCGAATAAAGTGTCGCGTGTTCGCGTTGATGATATCGTGTGGATTTGTGTGCATCAAGCTCGGAATAGTCCCGAGGCGAGCGAACTGTCCCGAGGAGGAGCGGCCTGTGGAACAGCCGGTGAGTAGATTTGATTTATCATATTTGCGTGATAATTTGTGCTCATATGACGCTTATACAGCATCGCGATGTCCCGAATTACATTCGGACAAATCGGCATCATAATTCGATTCGGTGCAATTCAAATAAAGTCAATCGCATGAAGACGGTTATGCTAGAAGCGATTTCAAATTTATTTTGTATACGCGCGCGCAATGCTGCACAGCCTATCTCGTAGGGCTGCCAACTGTTAAACGATAAATTTATTTGATCTAACCTAACCTAACCTAACTTAACCTCTCATTGTCTTTGCATATCGAATGTAAACACAAGCGAATGCTCCCTGGATTTTATCATGCTTTCAAAAATAATATTTAATTATTTCATTAGTGTATTACATTTTATTACGTAGTATATTAATCGTATTAAATGTGCGACGTACAGTTTTACACATTTTAATGAGGAGCATAATATAATTGGTTAGGTTAGATTAAATTAAAACAAGCTGCTGTGATTCATTCAACATAACAGGATTAATTTGACGAATGTGCAGCTATTAAAGTTACATGATATTTGTGGACACATTTTTAAAGTAATCATGAGTGTCTTATCTCATCTCGATTACATGAAATTAAAATATAAAATATTTATGTATTCCACATTAACGTTATTCATTACAAGTACTATATTACTACATTACAAGTACTTTTCTTATATCTCAATCATATTCAACCATTTATTTCATCGATGAAGCTTTTCATATATCGCAGACAATATGATACTGCGTGTGGAATTTTACAAAGGTAATACGTGGCACCACAATAATTTGCTCTCAAGTATTGTGTGCATTTCTCAAAAATAAATCAAATTAAATTATTTTCAGAATCCAAACATCGCTACATTGCCAGAATTGTATGTTATTATAACTGCGATATTATCACCTTTTAATATGTGTGCGCAGTATTACATACATAAAATATATAAATTTATTTGAAACGTACTGAAATTTTTATCTTATTTATAATATTCGTGATATTATAAAAGAAAATTGCAACTGTAATGAAACAGAGCGGTGGAATAATTGGTTGATTGGTTAATTGCAGGTAATTATGTTATACTTATATATCGTAAGAAAGAGAAAATAAAATAAAAGTTGAATACTGAATGTGCTTTAAAGTAAATCTCATCTAAATAAATAAATGCATAAATGTGCGCCCCACATTCCTCATGAAAAAAATACATAATATTAATCTTTATGTATTATTATTTTTAGATTTGTTTTTTATTCTTTTAAATTCTCTAGATACACTTTTCATTTCTCCTCTCTTTCTTTTCAACTACTAAATATAAATCTATCATTTTTAATATAGATCTGTCATTTTTAGTGTACATTATTGCAGTAAGTGGAATAAAGAGCAAATCTATTGGGACATATAGAATGTACAGGAAAGTCAGTTTTATCTGATGCGTTTTTTTCAATAGAAATATCTGAAAAAATTCATACGTCTTTTTTAATCTTAATCTTTCTAAATAAAAATTAGAATAATAAATTTGCAAAATAATTTGCTTTAATATATTTTTATTGCAAACATATGAAGCAAAGTGCTCAAGGTGCATCACTATGAAAACATAGATAGAATAAAAAGTAGATCGTATACAAAAGAATTAAAATATTTACACTACATATTTGATATAGCATTTAATAGATATGTGCAGTAATACAATAAAATCTAATTTTCTCTCGAATTTTTTCACGAAATTTAAACTACTAGAAAAATATCAAATATTCAAATTGTTCAATAGTCTTGCGAAAGAAGCAGTTCTCGCTTAAAGAATCTTTAGAAAAAAAAAATAAAAAAGTTTAAAGAAAAAAAAGGACAAAAAATTTTTAATCTGACATGGATATTTAATTTTATACTAATATTTTTAATGTAACAACTCATTTATAAAGATTTTATTTTGTGAAACGTTTATACATAA